ATGCAGTATAGTACTAGCCATATGTGCCTGGTGGCTTGTGTGTCGAACAGCACAACTCTGGGAAATCAAAGGTAAACTAGACTCAGGGTCTCTGGCGTCATGGGGCTTAATATTGGAAACATACCAGAAAGTAAACTGACAAATAATTGCAAAATTCGATAAATGTTAGGAAACAAATGGCTGACGTAGAGAATACCAGGGATCTATTTTAGGTAGAATAGCCAAAGAAGCCCTCTCTGACCAAGAAACAATTAAGCTGAGATCTACAGGAAATAAATAGGTTAGCTTGGGAAGAGTGAGAAGAGCCTTTGGAGGTATGAGTGCAACTCAGGCCAATGCCCTAGGGAAGGAAAAAGGTGGTCTTGTTGAAGAAAGTGAAAGAGAGGTGTGGATGGGGAGGGTTGTTAGGAAACAGATTAAGTCATCAGATTTATACTCTTGGGTCACTCTTGCTGCTGAACATTTATCCCAGGCTTGCCTCTGTACCAAGTGCTAGGGAGATGGGGCAATATACGGTTAAATAAAGTGCAGCACAGAAGACTGACTGTGGCCTTTGAACCTGGCTTCAAATCTACCTCAGCTCCTTACTAACTGTGGAATCTTGGGCCAATTACTGATATGCTGAATCTCAATTCCCTCATCTATACAATGGAATCTAATAATTACTAATAAATAATATGTAATTTTGTAGGGTTCTTGTAAATATTAGAAATAACATGTAAAACAACTAGCACAGTGCCTAGACACAAGGCAGGCACTTAGATAAATAGTAGCCATTGTCAGATAAGCAGTCTGTTAGTGCTTAGCATGAAGAGGTCACGCCTTAAACTACAGTAATTATTTTCATCCCTGCTTTCAAGCTCCAAGTCTTTTTCTACTTATTCAAGGCTGCATAGAACATAGCTCATACTATCCATCTTGCTCATTAACATCTAACAGGTTTTCTCCCTTTTACCTCTGCTTTCTGGTAACACATGTCTCTAGGAACTTTTGAGATTTGATCTGAAACTGCAGGAATTCTTCCCCTATTTTAAGTATGCTTTTATTCTGCATTTCTTTCAGAATTTATAATGTCAACTTGAAAACTTTAATGTTTGTGCTTGTTCCCAAATAATTATGTTTTGTCCCCTTCAAATAGGTTATAAGAAAACAGATACACATTCTTTATTTCCCTTCCTCCTCCCCATGCAAGTGTTTTATATAATACTCCACTCATTTGTTTATTCAGTGAACAACTGAAGGGTGTTAGGCTTAAAGAATTCACCCTCCCCAAACTTCCATCCAAACCTCCTATAAAACCCAGCACTCTCCCCTTCCTAGGGGTGTATTAGGCAGGTAGCTGTTGCCAGACCCCTAGGGAAATAAAGGAATGGAATGCAAGAGGGGAACTTACTTTCCTTGTCTCTCCCC